TGTAGATGAAGTGGACTGGACAGTTCTTTTTACAACATATGTATTTACACAATGTCTGCTATTGCCATCTCTTCCAACCAGCGTCACATAATATCTGCCGTTGTCTCTTCATGCTGCAGTTAACGGGGGCTGGACTGAGTGGTCGGCGGCGTTAAAGGTGTGTAGCGCCACGTGCGGTCAGTCGGTCAGTGGGACGGACACGAGGACACGGACGTGCACCAACCCTGTTCCAGTCAATGGCGGAAGCACTTGTGCTGGAAATCCACTAGACATACAAGCCGTTATCTGCCAAGTGCCAGCATGTGCCACTGGTAAGAAGTGTTACCTCTCTGAGGAAATTATGCGCAGGTTTTATCGGCATACCGATTATTCCCTTGAAGACCCGGGTTAGAACTGATCTTCAGCATCACGTGCTTGTCGTAAGGTGAATCAAGAGATCGGATGGTCAGGTTCGCTGTGTTGGGTGAGCGCCGTATCCCAATTGCGTGGATCGATTATTTACAGACAGCTGGACTATTGGTAAGAACGGCGTAAAATAAGGGATGCCAATTCATTTGGATAAATTGTTTGATAGGCATTACTTAGAAGTTGACGGATGACAAGATAGACACAATTTTATGGATAACAACTTCTTTAACACTGTGAAAAGCGACGTTTCGGTATAGATCCTTATACTGTTGTCAAGCAAGACTCTCTTGACAACGGTATAAGGATCTATACCGAAACGTCGCTTTTCACAGTGTTAAAGAAGTTGTTATCCATAAAAATTGTGTCTATCTTGTAATTCATGTGTGTTGTCTGTTATCACTTCCGGTTGAGTCGTTTCGCTGGGAAACAGCTGAGAGCCCCCACCTTGCCCTTCCGTGTGACTTGATGCTTCCATCAGAGTAGACAGCTTACCTGTTTCAAAGCAGTAGATATTTTTTTAAAACTTTGTTAGCCTCTGGTGTCTCAATGTCCTGATCTCGCGCACGTAAAATCTCCCTGTGACTGCACATGTTCCACCAGACGTGAAGTGTCTCCATGGGCCTGTGTGTGTGTGAGTGTGAGTGAGTGTGTGTGTGTGTGTGTGTGTGTGTGTGTGTGTGTGTGTGTGTGTGTGTGTGTGTGTGTGTGTGTCTGTCTGTCTGTCTGTCTGTCTGTGTGTGTGTGTCTGTGTGTGTGTGTGTGTGTGTTTGTTTGTGTGTGTGTGTGTGTGTGTCTCTGTGTGTGTGTTTGTGTGTGTGTCTGTCTGTGTCTGTCTGTCTGCGTGTCTGTGTGTGTGTGTCTGTCTGTCTGCGTGTGTGTGTGTGTCTGTGTGTGTGTGTGTGTGTGTCTGTGTGTGTGTGTCTGTGTGTGTGTGAGTGTGTGTGTGTGTGTGTGTGTGTGTCTGTGTGTGTGTCTGTGTTTGTACATGCGTGTGTACGTGAGTGTATGCATGTGGGGATGTGGACGTGTGTTTTCGCATGCACGTGAACGTGGGTGTGTGGGTGTGGTATTGGGTGTGCGTGTGTTTTCACATGCAGGTGTACGTGGGTGTATGGGTGTGCTTATACATGCATGTGTGCGTGATTGCGTGTATGTGTGTGTGTATGGTTCTGTGCATTCGTGCGTGGGTGGGTGTTTTGGTGCGTGCGTGTAAGGTTCTGTGCGTGGGTGTGTGGATGTCTTAGTGTTTTGATGTGTGCTGTAGTCGTTGTGTGCGAAGGTGCGTCTAGATGACTGGGGGACCGAACATGTAAGTTCCGAGAGTTTGGGGCCAGCGCGTGTCAGCCACCAGTGAAACTCTACAGTCACCACCAGACATTCAGTGCATGTTCGTGAGTAGAACGAGTAGAACCACTGCTCCACGTGCTGACCTTTCAGTCTATGTAATGAGTAGTATATCAGCGTCCAACAGGAATCTATAAAGGGGCTAAATAAAAGGTTAAGCAGATGACATTAAGTTTGATGAATCTCAATCTTCACAGTCTTCAGCAAAACACATCTGCAAGAGACCACCTCCGTGGTCTAGTGGTAGAGCGTCCGCCCTGAGAGCGGAAGGTCCGGGGTTCGCTCCCCGCGTCATACCAAAAGATGGTACTTGTTGTTACCCTGTCTGGCGCTCGGCTTTAAAGGGCTAAAACAAGGACTGGTCGGCTCGGAGTTAGTATATTGTGTCTGAGTGGGGTATCCATGTTAAACTGCGGCATGATATCTCAGTGTGCTAGCACTATAAATCGGCATCAGTCCGGACTAGTACAAGCAGCCGCACACACACACATACACGTGCATGCACGTCGCTATATAAGCGCAATAATCTTGGACGCGACGTTAAACCCAATTTCACCTCACCTCACCTCACATCTGCAAGAAGACAGACTTGAAACTGAATGTTTAAAGTCTGATCATTCAAAACAAACTGCACAAACTAGGCATACCTTAATTACTTAGTAGGTGGTCCTACAGGCGGTGCGCCATACTGCGGTGATCTTTAAGGGTTACATATGTCATAGAACTCTCTTACCTTCCATTGTCAGGGTGGGGAGAATGGTCCTTCTGGAGACGCTACTGTTCAGCCACGTGTGGAGGGGCGGTTCCTGGTGTAGAGAACAGGACCCGGGAGTGTCTGACCCAGCCCTGCACAGGGAACTCCAGTGAACAGAGAGTTACCACATGCACCCTTAACCAGTGTACAGGTACGTGTTATAGTAATACCACTGCCAGGTACGTGTGCTTGATGTACCACCAGGTACGTGTGATGTAGTTTACATGTCTTCCGTGTGTGGCCTCAGAGACAAAAATATTCTCCGATGCAATTCCCTATTTAAGGGTCATTGTATTTTTAAAATTCTTTCACGTTTCGTAACGGATGCCACAAGTGTGGCAGGATATGCTCACCTTTCCAAAGAACTGGCTTCATTACTATTTGATAATGATTCATAAACACATGCTTGTGTTGAAATTATACAATAAACTCTGTTTTGGCAGAGAATTTTATAATTATGGATTTTTCATATATATTTTATCCTCAGATGCCTGCAGTACTAACAGTCCAGACCCGGACAACGCATTCGGTTACATAAGGAGGTCTAACAATGCCATTTACAGGGTCAACTGCCCTGGTGGGATCACCTTCAACCCCAGCACGTGCCTCTGTAACAATTCTACTGGTAATAAAGGCCTCGTAGTATACTGCATACATTTGCACATATCACCACAGGGTAATATAGACCTGATCAAGGACTGTAAACCTTCGCACATATCACCACGGGGTAATATTGACATGATGAAAGACTGTAAACCATCGCACAGGTCATCACTGGGTAATATTGACCTGATCAAGGACTGTAAACCTTCGCACATGTCATCACGGGGTAATATAGACCTGATCAAGGACTGTAAACCTTCGCACATATCACCACGGGGTAATATTGACATGATGAAAGACTGTAAACCATCGCACAGGTCATCACTGGGTAATATTGACCTGATCAAGGACTGTAAACCTTCGCACATGTCATCACGGGGTAATATAGACCTAATCAAAGACTGTAAACCTTCGCACATGTCACCACGGGGTAATATTGACCTGATCAAGGACTGTAAACCTTCGCACATGTCATCACGGGGTAATATAGACCTGATCAAGGACTGTAAACCTTCGCACATATCACCACGGGGTAATATTGACATGATGAAAGACTGTAAACCATCGCACAGGTCATCACTGGGTAATATTGACCTGATCAAGGACTGTAAACCTTCGCACATGTCATCACGGGGTAATATAGACCTAATCAAAGACTGTAAACCTTCGCACATGTCATCACGGGGTAATATAGACCTGACCAAGGACTGTAAACCTTCGCACATATCACCACGGGGTAATATTGACCTGATCAAAGACTGTAAACCTTCACACATGTCATCACGGGGTAATATAGACCTGATCAAGGACTGTAAACCTTCGCACATGTCATCACTGGGTGATATTGACCTGATCAAGGACTGTAAACCTTCGCACATATCACCACTTGGTAATATAGACCTGATCAAAGACTGTAAACCTTCACACATGTCATCACGGGGTAATATAGACCTAATCAAAGACTGTAAACCTTCGCACATGTCACCACGGGGTAATATTGACCTGACCAAAGACTGTAAACCTTCGCACATGTCATCACGGGGTAATATAGACCTGATCAAGGACTGTAAACCTTCGCACATATCACCACGGGGTAATATTGACCTGATCAAAGACTGTAAACCTTCGCACATGTCATCACTGGGTGATATTGACCTGATCAAGGACTGTAAACCTTCGCACATGTCATCACTGGGTGATACTGACCTGATCAAGGACTTTAAACCTTCGCACATGTCATCACAAGGTAATATAGACCTGATCAAGGACTGGTAACCTTCGCACATATCACCACTTGGTAATATAGACCTGATCAAAGACTGTAAACCTTCACACATGTCATCACTGGGTAATACAGACCTGATCAAAGACTGGTAACCTTCGCACATATCACCACTTGGTAATATAGACCTGACCAAAGACTGTAAAACTTTGCACATATCACCACGGGGTAATACAGACCTAATCAAAGACTGTTAACCTTCGCACATATCACCACTTGGTAATACAGACCTGATCAAAGACTGTTAACCTTCGCACATATCATCACTTGGTAATATAGATCTGATCAAAGACTGTACACTGAAAACCTTTTCACATGATTTAAAATTTAAATATGTCTTCTTTTACGATTACAATAATCATCTAGTTGTTTGTATGTGTGATATGTTGGTATGCTGGTGTATATGCATATATGGGTATACGCCCATGTGCACGGATGCACCAGTTTGTTTATGTACCGATGTATGTATGTGTGTTTTTGTGTGTGACTTGTATATTCGCATCATAATATTTGCAACAGTAGGTACAATTAATCTATTTTTTTTATCTCATCTACAGTTTCCTCTTATTTATTGTTAAATGTCCTTTGTAGGGAGAGGTGTTTAAATAGGTCTTACCTGTTCACCAATCCCATTCCTTTTTCTTGAAATACTTTTTTTGAATATAGTTTAAATCGTACAGACCTGATCAAAGATTGTAAACCTTCGCAGCTGTCACCTCGGGCAATATAGACTTCGTAATATCCTGCATACATGTGCACACGTCACAAAGCTATTGTGCGGTTTACTATTGAACAAAACATTTATATTCATTGCAGAAAATAAATATATTCCTTTTTGAGAACCAGACAGATGGCTAATGTACACCGTTATGCATTGTTGTTGTTAACGTTCAGCCCTACAGCACTGCACTCAGTCACTCTCCTAATGTTCATGCCTGCATGCCATTGTTTCATTGTTTGGGTAGTGAACAGACATCCATGTGTCATTGTTTGGGTAGTGAACAGACATCCATGTTTCATTGTTCGAGTAGTGAAAAGACATCCATGTTTCATTGTTCGGGTAGTGAACAGACATCCATGTTTTCATTGTTCAGGTAGTGAACAAATATCCATGTTTCATTGTTCGAGTAGTAAACAAACATCCATGTTTTATTGTTTGGGTAGTGAAAAGACATCCATGTTTCATTGTTCGGGTAGTGAACAGACATCCATGTTTCATTGTTCAGGTAGTGAACACACATCCATGTTTCATCGTTCCGGTAGTGAACAGACATCCATGTTTCATTGTTCAAGTAGTGAACAAATATCCATGTTTCATTGTTCGAGTAGTAAACAAACATCCATGTTTCATTGTTCAGGTAGTGAACACACATCCATGTTTCATCGTTCCGGTAGTGAACAGACATCCATGTTTCATTGTTCAAGTAGTGAACAAATATCCATGTTTCATTGTTCAAGTAGTGAACAGACATCCATGTTTTCATTGTTCAGGTAGTGAACAAATATCCATGTTTCATTGTTCCGGTAGTGAACAGACATCCATGTTTTCATTGTTCAGGTAGTGAACGATATCCATGTTTCATTGTTGGAGTAGTAAACAAACATCCATGTTTTCATTGTTCAGGTAGTGAACAAATATCCATGTTCGAGTAGTAAACAGACATCAATGTTTCATTGTTCCGGTAGTGAACAGACATCCATGTTTCATTGTTCGGGTAGTGAACAGACATCCATGTTTTCATTGTTCAGGTAGTGAACAAATATCCATGTTTCATTGTTCGAGTAGTAAACAAACATCCATGTTTTATTGTTTGGGTAGTGAAAAGACATCCATGTTTCATTGTTCGGGTAGTGAACAGACATCCATGTTTCATTGTTCAGGTAGTGAACACACATCCATGTTTCATCGTTCCGGTAGTGAACAGACATCCATGTTTCATTGTTCAAGTAGTGAACAGACATCCATGTTTTCATTGTTCAGGTAGTGAACAAATATCCATGTTTCATTGTTCGAGTAGTAAACAAACATCCATGTTTCATTGTTCAGGTAGTGAACACACATCCATGTTTCATCGTTCCGGTAGTGAACAGACATCCATGTTTCATTGTTCAAGTAGTGAACAGACATCCATGTTTTCATTGTTCAGGTAGTGAACAAATATCCATGTTTCATTGTTCCGGTAGTGAACAGACATCCATGTTTCATTGTTCAGGTAGTGAACAAACATCCATGTTTCATTGTTCGAGTAGTAAACAAACATCCATGTTTTCATTGTTCAGGTAGTGAACAAATATCCATGTTCGAGTAGTAAACAAACATCCATGTTTTCATTGTTCAGGTAGTGAACAGATACATATGTTCCATTGTTCAAGTAGTGAACAGACATCCATGTTTCATTGTTCGGGTAGTGAAAAGATACCTATGTTCCATTGTTCAAGTAGTGAACAGATACCTATGTTTCATTGTTCAGGTAGTGAACAGATACCTATGTTCCATTGTTCAAGTAGTGAACGGATACCTATGTGTCATTGTTCAGGTAGTGAACAGATACCTATGTTCCATTGTTCAGGTAGTGAACAGATACCTATGTTCCATTGTTCAGGTAGTGAACAGATACCTATGTTCCATTGTTCAGACAGTAAACAGAGATCCATGTTTCATAAAACGTATCCTTGTTTCATTGTTCAGGAAGTATACATATTTGCCAGACGGTACAGGTAACAGACAATGCCTCAGCTACATTTGTATCAAATGACACAGCAAAGGCAACAGTGCCAGGTCCAGATAATGTTGCAGTATAATATAAAACTTTGGCCCATACAGACGAAGTTTTTGTTCAGGTTGGGGAGAATGGTCCTTCTGGAGACGTTACTGTTCAGCCACGTGTGGAGGGGCGGTTCCTGGTGTAGAGAACAGGACCCGAGAGTGTCTGACCCAGCCCTGCACGGGGAACTCCAGTGACCAGAGAGTTACCACATGCACCCTTAACCAGTGTACAGGTACGTGTTATAGTTATACCACTGCCAGGTACGTGTGATTGATGTACCACCAGGTACGTGTGATTTTTGTACCATCAGGTACGTGTTATAGTAGTACCACTGCCAGGTACGTGTGCTTGTTGTACCACCAGGTAGGTGTGATTGTTGTACCACAAGGTACGTGTTATAGTAATACCACTGCCAGGTACGTGTGATTGATGTACCACCAGGTACGTGTGATTGTTGTACCAGCAGGTACGTGTGATTTAAGTACCACCACCAGGTATGAGTGATTGTTGTACCACCAGGTACGGGTGATTGTACCACCACCAGGTATGTGTGATTGTTGTTCCACCACCAACAGGTATGTATGATTGTTGTTCCACCACCAGGTATGTGTGATTGTTGTTCCACCACTAGGTATGTGTGATTGTTGTTCCACCACCAGGTATGTGTAAATGTTGTACCACCAGGTACGTGTGAGTGTTGTACCATCAGGTATGTGTGATTGTTGTTCCACCATCAGGCATGCGTGATTGTTGTACCACCATCAGGTATGTGTGATTATTGTACCACCACCAGGTATGTGTAATTGTTGAACCACCAGGTACGTGTGAGTGTTGTACCATCAGGTATGTGTGATTGTTGTTCCACCATCAGGCATGTGTGATTGTTGTACCACCATCAGGTATGTGTGATTGTTGTACCACCCCCAAGTACGTGTGATTGTTGTACCACCGCCAGGTGTGTGTAATTGTTGTACCACCACCAGGTATGTGTAATTGTTGTACCACCACCAGGTACGTGTGATTGTTATACCACCACCAAGTATGTGTGATTGTTGTTCCACCACCAGGTATGTGTGATTGTTGAACCACCAGGTACGTGTGATTTTTGTACCACCACCAGGTATGTGTGATTGTTGCACTACCACCAGGTACGTGTGATTGTTGTACCACCACCAGGTATGTGTGATTTTTGTACCACCACCAGGTACGTGTGATTGTTGTTCCACCACCAGGTTTGTGTGATTGTTATACCACAACAATAGGTTAGAGGCGGACGTCATATAGCTGGATTATTGCTGTGTGCGACGTTAAAGAACAAACAAACATACAAACATGTGGTTGTTGTAACCCCAGGAACATATGATTGTTGCACCATCTGTAGGTGCAGGTTGGGGAGAATGGTCCTTCTGGAGACGCTACTGTTCAGCCACGTGTGGAGGGGCGGTTCCTGGTGTAGAGAACAGGACCCGAGAGTGTCTGACCCAGCCCTGCACAGGGAACTCCAATGACCAGAGAGTTGCCACTTGCACCCTTAACCAGTGTCCAGGTACATGTTATAGTAATACCACTGCCAGGTACGTGTTATAGTAATACCAGTGCCAGGTATGTGTGATTGATGTACCACCAGGTATGTGTGATTGTTGTACCACCAGGTACGTGTGCTTGTTGTACCACCAGGTACGTGTTATAGTAGTACCACTGCCAGGTATGTATGCTTGTTGTACCACCAGGTACGTGTGATTGTTGTACCACCAGGTACGTGTGATTGTTGTACCACCAGGCACGTGTTATAGTAGTATCACTGCCAGGTATGTATGCTTTTTGTACCACCAGGTACGTGTGATTGTTGTACCGCCAGGTACGTGTGATTGTTGTACCACCAGGTACGTGTGATTGTTGTACCACCAGGTACGTGTGATTGTTGTACCACCAGGTACGTGTGATTGATGTACAACCAGGTACGTGTGATTGATGTACCACCAGGTACGTGTGCTTGTTGTACCACCAGGTACGTGTGATTGTTGTACCGCCAGGTATGTGTGATTGATGTACAACCAGGTACGTGTGATTGTTGTACCACCAGGTCCAGATAATGCTACATTATTATAAAAAAATATTGGGCCCTACAGACACAGTGTTTGTTTAGGTTGGGGAGAATGGTCCTTCTGGAGACGCTACTGTTCAGCCACGTGTGGAGGGGCGGTTCCTGGTGTAGAGAACAGGACCCGGGAGTGTCTGACCCAGCCCTGCACGGGGAACTCCAGTGACCAGAGAGTTACCACATGCACCCTTAACCAGTGTACAGGTACGTGTTATAGTAATACCACTGCCAGGTACGTGTGCTTGATGTACCACCAGGTACGTGTGATTGTTGTACCACCAGATACATGTTATAGTAATACCACTGCCAGGTACGTGTGATTGACGTACCACCAGGTACCTGTTATTGTTGTACCACCAGGTACGTGTTATAGGAATACCACTGCCAGTTTCGTGTGATTGACGTAGCACCAAGTACGTGTGATTGTTGTACCACCAGGTACGTGTTATAGTAATACCACTGCTAGGTACGTGTGCTTGATGTACCACCAGGTTTGTATGATTGTTGTACCACCAGGTATGTATGAGTGTTGTACCACCACCATTTACCTGTGAATGTAGTACCACCAGGTACGTGTGATTGTTGTACCACCGTCAGGTACGTGTGATTGTTGTACCACCACAAGCTATGTATGATTGTTGTACCACCACCAGGTACGTGTGATTGTTGTACCACCAGGTATGTGTGATTGTTGTATCACCACTAGGTATGTGTGATTGTGGTACCACCACAAGGTATGTGTGATTGTTGTACCACCACCAGGTATGTATGATTGTTGTACCACCACCAGGTACGTGTGATTGTTGTACCACCAGGTATGTGTGATTGTTGTACCACCAGGTACGTGTGATTGTTGTACCACCGCACGGTATGTGTGATTGTTGTACCACCAGGTACGTGTGATTGTTGTACCATCACCAGATATGTATGAATGTTGTACCACCACCAGGTACGTGTGATTCTTGTACCATCACAAAGTATGTGTGATTGTTGTACCAACACCAGGATTGTTTGATTGTTGTACCACCACCAGGTACGTGTGATTGTTGTACCATCACCAGGTATGTGTGATTGATGTACCACCACCAAGTATGTATGTTTGTTGTACCACCACCAGGTATGTATGTTTGTTGTACCATCACTAGGTATGTATGATTGTTGTACCACCACCAGGTATGTATGTTTGTTGTACCACCAGGTATGTATGATTGTTGTACCACCACCAGGTATGTGTGATTGTTGTACCACCACCAGGTATGTATGATTGTTGTACCACCACCCGGTATGTATGATTGTTGTACCACCACCAGGTATGTATTATTGTTGTACCACCACCAGGTATGTATGATTGTTGTACCACCAACAGGTATGTATGATTGTTGTACCACCAACAGGTATGTATGCTTGTTGTACCACCAGGTATGTATGATTGTTGTACCACCAACAGGTATGTATGCTTGTTGTACCACCAGGTACGTGTGATTGTTGTACCACCAGGTACGTGTGATTGTTCTACCGCCAGGTACTTGTGATTGTTGTACCACCACAAGGTATGTTTGATTGTTGTACCAACACCAGGTATGTTTGATTGTTGTACCACCACCAGGTATGTGTGATTGATGTACCACTACCAGGTATGTGTGATTGTTGTACCATCACCAGGTATGTATGATTGTTGTACCATAACTAGGTATGTTTGATTGTTGTACCATCACCAGGTATGTGTGATTGATGTACCACCACCAAGTATGTATGTTTGTTGTACCACCACCAGGTATGTATGATTGTTGTACCACCACCAGGTATGTATGATTGTTGTACCACCAACAGGTATGTATGATTGTTGTACCACCACCAGGTATGTGTGATTGTTGTACCACCACCAAGTATTTGTGATTGTTGTACCACCAGGTACGTGTGATTGTTGTACCACCAGGTACATGTGATTGTTCTACCGCCAGGTACGTGTGATTGTTGTACCACCACAAGGTATGTGTGATTGTTGTACCACCAGGTACGTGTGATTGTTGTACAATCACCAGATATGTAAGAATGTTGTACAACTACCAGGTATGTGTGATTGTTGTACCACCACCAGGTATGTGTGATTGTTGTACCATCACCAGGTATGTGTGATTGTTGTACCACCACCAGGTATGTGTGATTGATGTACCACCAGGTGTGTGTGTGATTGTTGTACCACCAGGTACGTGTGATTGTTGTAGCACCACCAGGTACGTGTGATAGTAGAACCACAACCAGGTACGTGTGATTGTTGTACCACCAGGTGTGTGTGATTGTTGTACCACCACCAGGTATGTATGATTGTTGTACCACCACCAGGTACGTGTGATTGATGTACCACCACCAGGTATGTGTGATTGTTGTACTACCACCAAGTATGTGTGATAGTAGAACCACAACCAGGTACGTGTGATTGTTGTACCGCCAGGTGTGTGTGATTGTTGTACCACCAGCAGGTATGTATGATTGTTGTACCACCACCAGATACGTGTGATTGTTGTACCACCACCAGGTATGTGTGATTGTTGTACCACCAGGTGTTTGTGATTTTTGTACCACCACCAGGTATGTAAGATTGTTGTACCACCACTAGATACGTGTGACTGTTTTACCACCACCAGGTACGTGTGATTGTTGTACCACGCCAGGGACCCGTGAAGATCCGGGGTAGAATACGTCTTCAGCGGCCAATGCTTGCCGTAAAAGGTGACTGTGCTTGTTGGAAGAGGCGACTAACGGATCGGGTGGTCAGGCTTGCCTACTTGGTTGATGCATGTCATCATGTCCCAATTGCATGGATCAATGTTCATGATGTCAATCACAGGATTGTCTGTTCCAGCCTCGATAGGTTACAGACGGCCGTCATATAGCTGGAATATTGCTGTGTGCGACGTTAAAGAACAAACAAACATACAAACATGTGGTTGTTGTAACCCCAGGAACATATGATTGTTGCACCAGCTGTAGGTGCAGGTTGGGGAGAATGGTCCATCTGGAGACGCTACTGTTCAGCCACGTGTGGAGGGGCGGTTCCTGGTGTAGAGAACAGGACCCGAGAGTGTCTGACCCAGCCCTGCACGGGGAACTCCAGTGACCAGAGAGTAACCACATGCACCCTTAACCAGTGTACAGGTACGTGTTGTAGTAATACCACTGCCAGGTACGTGTGATTGTTGTACCACCAGGTACGTGTGATTGTTGTACCACCACCCGGTATATATGATTGATGTACCACCAGGTACGTGTGATTGTTGTACCACCAGGTACGTGTGATTGTTGAACCACCACCAGGTACGTGTAATTGTTGTACCACCACCAGGTATGTATGATTGTTGTACCACCACCCGGCTCGTGTGGTTGTTGTACCACCACCAGGTATGTGTGATTGCTGTACCACCACCAGGTATGTATGATTGTTGTACCACCACCAAGTATGTGTGATTGTTGTACCACCAGGTATGTATGATTGTTGTACCACCACCCGGCTCGTGTGGTTGTTGTACCACCACCCGGTATGTATGATTGTTGCACCACCAACAGGTATGTATGATTGTTGTACCACCACCAGGTATGTGTGATTGTTGTACCACCACCAGGTGCGTGTAATTGTTTTACCACCAGGTACGTGTGATTGTTGTACCACCAGGTACGTGTGATTGTTGTACCACCACCCGGCTCGTGTGGTTGTTGAACCAGCACCAGGTATGTATGATTGTTGTACCACCACCAGGTACGTCTGATTGTTGTACCACCACCAGGTGCGTGTAATTGTTTTACCACCAGGTACGTGTGATTGTTGTACCACGATCCGGTATGTGTGATTGTTGTACCACCAGGTACGTGTGATTGTTGTACCACCATCCGGTATGTATGATTGTTGTACCACCAGGTACGTGTGATTGTTGTACCACCACCCGGTATTAATGATTGTTGTACCACCACCAGGTATGTATGATTGTTGTACCACCAGGTACGTGTGATTGTTGTACCACCACCCGGTATTAGTGATTGTTGTACCACCACCCGGTATGTATGATTGTTGTACCACCAGGTACGTGTGATTGTTGTACCACCACCCGGTATATATGATTGTTGTACAACCAGGTACGTGTGATTGTTGTACCACCACCCGGTATTAGTGATTGTTGTACCACCACCCGGTATGTATGATTGTTGTACCACCAGGTACGTGTGGTTGTTGTACCACCACCCGGTATTTATGATTGTTGTACCACCAGGTACGTGTGATTGTTGTACCATCACCAGGTACGTGTGATTGTTGTACCACCGCCAGGGACCCGTGAAGATCCGGGGTAGAATAGGTCTTCAGCGGCCAATGCTTGCCTTAATAGGTGACTTTGCTTGTTGGAAGAGGCGACTAACGGATCGGGTTGTCAGGCTTGCTGACTTGGTTGATGCATGTCATCGTGTCCCAATTGCATGGATCGATGCTCTTGATGTCAATCACAGGATTGTCTGGTCTAGCCTCGATAGGTTACAGACGGCTGTTAGATAGCTGGATTATTGCTGTGTGCGACGTTAAAGAACAAACAAACATACAAAGATGTGGTTGTTGTAACCCCAGGAACATATGATTGTTGCACCAGCTGTAGGTGCAGGTTGGGGAGAATGGTCCTTCTGGAGACGCTACTGTTCAGCCACGTGTGGAGGGGCGGTTCCTGGTGTAGAGAACAGGACCCGAGAGTGTCTGACCCAGCCCTGCACGGGGAACTCCAGTGACCAGAGAGTTGCCACATGCACCCTTAACCAGTGTACAGGTACGTGTTATAGTAATACCACTGCCAGGTGCGTGTGATTGTTGTACCACCAGGTACGTGTGATTGTTGTACCACCAGATACGTGTTATAGTAATACCACTGCCAGGTACGTGTGCATGATGTAGCACCAGGTACGTGTAATTGTTGTACCACCAGGTACGTGTTATAGTAGTACCACTGCCAGGTACGTGAGCTTGTTGTACCACCAGGTACGTGTGATTGTTGTACCATCAGGTACGTGTGATTGTTGTACCACCATCAGGTACGTGTGATTGTTGTACTACCACCAGGTATGTGTGATTGTTGTTCCACCACCAGATATGTGTGATTGTTGTACCACCACCAGATATGTGTGATTGTTGTGCCACCACCAGGGATGTGTGATTGTTGTACCACCACCAGGTATGTGTGATTGTTGTACCATCACCAGATATGTGCGATTGTTGTACCACCACCAGGGATGTGTGATTGTTGTACAACCACCAGGTATGTGTGATTGTTGTTCCACCACCAGATATGTGTGATTGTTGTACCACCACCAGGTATGTGTGATTGTTGTACCACCACCAAGTATGTGTGATTGTTGTACCACCACCAAGTATGTGTGATTGTAGTACCACCACCAAGTATGTGTGATTGTTGTTCCACCACCAGGTATGTATGATTGTTGTACCACCAGGTACATGTGATTGTTGTTCCACCACCAGGTATGTGTGATTGTTGTACCACCAGGTATGTGTTATTGTTGTACCACTACCAGGTACGTGTGATTGTTGTACCACCACCAGGTATGTGTGATTGTTGTACCACCACCAGGTATGTGTGATTGTTGTACCACCAGGTACGTGTGATTGTTGTACCACCACCAGGTATGTGTGATTGTTGTACCATCAGGTACGTGTGATTGTTGTACCACCACCAGGTGTTTGTGATTGTTGTACCACCACCAGGTATGTGTGATTGTTGTACCACCACCAGGTGTTTGTGATTGTTGTACCATCAGGTATGTGTGATTGTTGTACCACCACCAGGTGTTTGTGATTGTTGTACCACCACTAAGTATGTGTGATTGTTGTACCATCACCAAGTATGTGTGATTGTAGTACCACCACCAAGTATGCGTGATTGTTGTACCACGATCCGGTATGTATGATTGTTGTACCAGCACCAGGTACGTGTGATTGTTGTACCACCATCCGGTATGTATGATTGTTGTACCACCAGGTACGTGTGATTGTTGTACCACCACCAAGTATTAGTGATTGTTGTACCACCACCCGGTATGTATGATTGTTGTACCACCAGGTACGTGTGATTGTTGTACCACCACCCGGTATTAGTGATTGTTGTACCACCACCCGGTATGTATGATTGTTGTACCACCAGGTACGTGTGATTGTTGAACCACCACCAGGTATATATGATTGTTGTACAACCAGGTACGTGTGATTGTTGTACCACCACCCGGTATTAGTGATTGTTGTACCACCAGGTATGTGTGATTGTTGTACCACCACCCGGTATTAGTGATTGTTGTACCACCACCCTGTATGTATGATTGTTGTACCACCAGGTACGTGTGGTTGTTGTACCACCACCTGGTATGTATGATTGTTGTACCACCAGGTACGTGTGATTGTTGTACCATCACCAGGTACGTGTGATTGTTGTACCACCGCCAGGGACCCGTGAAGATCCGGGGTAGAATAGGTCTTCAGCGGCCAATGCTTGCCTTAATAGGTGACTATGCTTGTTGGAAGAGGCGACTAACGGATCGGGTTGTCAGGCTTGCTGACTTGGTTGATGCATGTCATCGTGTCCCAATTGCATGGATCGATGCTCTTGATGTCAATCACAGGATTGTCTGGTCTAGCCTCGATAGGTTACAGACGGCTGTTAGATAGCTGGATTATTGCTGTGTGCGACGTTAAAGAACAAACAAACATACAAACATGTGGTTGTTGTAACCCCAGGAACATATGATTGTTGCACCAGCTGTAGGTGCAGGTTGGGGAGAATGGTCCATCTGGAGACGCTACTGTTCAGCCACGTGTGGAGGGGCGGTTCCTGGTGTAGAGAACAGGACCCGAGAGTGTCTGACCCAGCCCTGCACAGGGAACTCCAATGACCAGAGAGTTGCCACATGCACCCTTAACCAGTGTCCAGGTACGTGTTATAGTAATACCACTGCCAGGTACGTGTGCATGATGTAGCACCAGGTACGTGTAATTGTTGTACCACCAGGTACGTGTTATAGTAGTACCACTGCCAGGTACGTGTGCTTGTTGTACCACCAGGTACGTGTGATTGTTGTACCATCAGGTACGTGTGATTGTTGTACCACCATCAGGTACGTGTGATTGTTGTACTACCACCAGGTATGTGTGATTGTTGTTCCACCACCAGATATGTGTGATTGTTGTACCACCACCAGATATGTGTGATTGTTGTACCACCACCAGGGATGTGTGATTGTTGTACCACCACCAGGTATGTGTGATTGTTGTACCACCACCAAGTATGTGTGATTGTTGTACCACCACCAAGCATGTGTGATTGTAGTACCACCACCAAGTATGTATGATTGTTGTACCACCAGGTACGTGTGATTGTTGTACCACCACCAAGTATGTGTGATTGTTGTACCACCATCAGGTATGTGTGATTGTTGTACCACCACAAGGTGTTTGTGATTGTTGTACCACCACCAGGTATGTGTGATTGTTGTACCACCACCAGGTATGTGTTATTGTTGTACCACAACCAAGTATGTGTGATTGTTGTTCCACCAGGTACGTGTGATTGTTGTACCATCACCAAGTATGTGTGATTGTTGTTCCACCAGGTACGTGTGATTGTTGTACCATCACCAAGTATGTATGATTGTTGTACCACCAGGTACGTGTGATTGTTGTACCACCATCAAGTATGTGTGATTGTTGTTCCACCACCAGGTATGTGTGATTGTTGTTCCACCACCAGGTATGTATGATTGTTGTTCCACCACCAGGTATGTGTGATTGTTGTACCACCAGGTACCTGTGATTGTTGTACCACCACCAAGTATGTGTGATTGTTGTACCACCAGGTATGTGTGATTGTTGTTCCACCACCAGGTATGTGTGATTGTTGTACCACCAGGTATGTGTTATTGTTGTACCACTACCAGGTACGTGTGATTGTTGTACCACCACCAGGTATGTGTGATTGTTGTACCACCACCAGGTACGCGTGATTGTTGTACCACCACCAGGTATGTGTGATTGTTGTACCACCACCAGGTACGCGTGATTGTTGTACCACCACCAGGTATGTGTGATTGTAGTACCACCACCAGGTATGTGTGATTGTTGTACCACCACCAGGTACGCGTGATTGTTGTACCACCACCAGGTACGCGTGATTGTTGTACCACCACCAGGTATGTGTGATTGTAGTACCACCACCAGGTATGTGTGATTGTAGTACCACCACCAGGTACACGTGATTGTAGGGCAACTGGATATTATATGTGATTCCCTGGAACGGTTTTGCGTGTATTCCGGGTTAGTACAGGTATCGTTAGCAGAGGTTCCCAGCAGCATCACGTGCTTGTCGTTCACTGCGTGTGGTCGTAATCTGACGGTGTCGGGGATTGCGTATAATATACCCACACGCAAAAGAAACGGAAGTGGTTTTAAGCAAATAAGTAACAAACACGGAACTATTAATTGATACGAGTTTTAGCATGCAGTGAAGCCTGATGGTGTTATCAATATTTTTGGTTGCATTTTGGAAGCCCCGAGTAAAAGCGCAACATAAAAAACGAATCGCCAAAACTCACCATTTCAATGAATATGTTGGTATCATGCACCCATTTCTCGAACCATTAACGAACTGTCACGAACTGTAGTGGGTATAAAACTGTGGCCGATTCTTGGACCTACCACTCCTTGGTCAACAATGCCACGCCTAACTCAAATTCAGAGAAACCAGGCTATCGGATGTTTGGAAGCTGGAGAGTCTGTCCAAGATGTTGCCCGTCTTTTCAAAGTTAACATAACCACAATTGACCGGCTCCTGCATCGATACAATGCTACACAGACCACAGATGACCTTCCTCGGAGCGGTCGTCCTAGGGTCACCACACCTCGACAAGATCGGGAGATTACCCGTCACCACCAGCGACATCCGTTCCTAACTGCAAGTGGAAGTGCTCGACAGACCATAAGAACACATAATCGACACATTAGCCGGGACACTGTGATCCGACGTCGCCGTTCCAACAACCTCAGATGTCGCCGACCAGCACGTCGTCCTGTTCTCCAACCACGGCATCGACAAGCACGACTTCAGTGGGCACAGGGTCATCACAATTGGCGTCATCGTGAGTGGAGGCGTGTCATCTTCTCTGATGAAAGTCGCTTTTGTGTCTCCCATGCAGACGGAAGAGACAGAATTTGGCGGCGTCGAGGTGATCGTTTCGCTGACGGAAACGTTGTGGAAAGGGATCCATGGGGTGGACCTAGCGTCATGATATAGGCAGGGATTGGACTTAATGTGAGACTTGGACCCATGTGCTTTCTGAATGTTGGTCAAGGTCGGGGACACGGCGTCACTGCTCAGCGGTATATCGACCAAATGATCACCCCCCCACGTTATTCCATTTTCTGCACAACATCAACAACACATTTTCCAACAGGACAACGCTCGTCCTCATGTTGCCAGAGCTACCAAGGCCTTTCTGCAACAACACAACATCCGTGTTCTACTGTGGCCAGCCCTCAGCCCTGATCTGAACCCCATTGAACACTTGTGGGATGAGGTTCAAAGGCGTCTGCACAATCTGCGCCCAGTCCCTACAACTGCCGATGAACTACGCACAGCTGCTCTGGATGTGAGCAGGAGGATCCCTAGGGCTTTCACAAATCGTCTGATCCACTCAGTGTACAGGAGATGTGTGGCAGTGATCAATGCTAATGGTGGTCACACCAGGTATTGACTGACATGTTAGGTATAGACCCGAAACTGTGTAAGCCCTTAACATTTGAAAAAACCCAATTATGTCATCTGCCTTTTAATCCATTAAACTGTCTTCAGTCAAATTTTTGTCAATCTTGCCCTATGAAAATAAATAACATGTATACTGCATACTCGACTTGCGTTTATTTTGTGTGTGAGTATATGAATAACTGGTTTATCTGGTCCAGACTCGATTTTCTACAGGCCACCGTTATATTGCTTTATCAATATATAGTGCAAACAAACAACATGCAAAGTATGTGCCACAACTACAGGACACGGGGAAATATTCTGTTTCAGGTCTTGGAGGAGAATGGGGACCGTGGTTGGCATGGATACCGCAATGCACAGGAAGCTGCACAAACACAAATATGTCACAGAGTCGCAGAAGAACATGCAGAACAACCGGTTGCAGCGGAATCGGCTTTGAACAAAGACAGTATACCTGTCCGATACCGCCGTCATGCAATGGTGAGCATTTATGCAATGGAATGGGTACCTGTTAATATGGAATAGTCATCAACCTCTAACAACAACATCCTCTACTCAAACATCTCACAACGACATCTACTCTTGTGTTCTAGGTACTCATGACTGCCATGTGTTCTAGGTACTGTTGACTGCCATGTGTTCTAGGTACTCATGACTGCCATGTGTTCTAGGTACTCATGACTGCCATGTGTTCTAGGTACTGATGACTGCCATGTGTTCTAGGTACTGATGACTGCCATGTGTTCTAGGTACTGTTGACTGCCATGTGTTCTAGGTACTGTTGACTGCCATGTGTTCTAGGTACTGTTGACTACCATGTGTTCTAGGTACTGATGACTGCCATGTGTTCTAGGTACTGATGACTGCCATGTGTTCTAGGTACTGTTGACTGCCATGTGTTCTAGGTACTGTTGACTGCCATGTGTTCTAGGTACTGTTGACTGCCATGTGTTCTAGGTACTCATGACTGCCATGTGTTCTAGGTACTGTTGACTGCCATGTGTTCTAGGTACTGATGACTGCCATGTGTTCTAGGTACTGATGACTGCCATGTGTTCTTGGTACGGTTGACTCTCATGTGTTCTAGGTACTCATGACTGCCATGTGTTCTAGGTACTCATGACTGCCATGTGTTCTAGGTACTGATGACTGCCATGTGTTCTAGGTACTCATGACTGCCATGTGTTCTAGGTATTGATGACTGCCATGTGTTCTAGGTACTGATAACTGCCATGTGTTCTAGGTACTCATGACTGCCATGTGTTCCAGGTACTGTTGACTGCCATGTGTTCTAGGTACTCATGACTGCCATCTGTTCTAGGTACTGATGACTGTCATGTGTTCTTGGTACGGTTGACTGCCATGTGTTCTAAGTACTCATGACTGCCATGTGTTCTAGGTACTGATGACTGCCATGTGTTCTAGGTACTGATGACTGCCATGTGTTCTAGGTACTGATGACTGCCATGTGTTCTAGGTACTCATGACTGCCATGTGTTCTAGGTACTGTTGACTGCCATGTGTTCTAGATACTGATGACTGCCATGTGTTCTAGGTACTGATGACTACCATGTGTTCTAGGTACTGTTGACTGCCATGTGTTCTAGGTACTGTTGACTGCCATGTGTTCTAGGTACTGATGACTGCCATGTGTTCTAGGTACTGTTGACTGCCATGTGTTCTAGGTACTGATGACTGCCATGTGTTCTAGGTACTGATGACTGCCATGTGTTCCAGGTACTGTTGACTGCCATGTGTTCTAGGTACTCATGACTGCCATGTGTTCTAGGTACTGATGACTGTCATGTGTTCTTGGTACGGTTGACTGCCATGTGTTCTAAGTACTCATGACTGCCATGTGTTCTAGATACTGATGACTGCCATGTGTTCTAGGTACTGATGACTACCATGTGTTCTAGGTACTGTTGACTGCCATGTGTTCTAGGTACTGTTGACTGCCATGTGTTCTAGGTACTGATGACTGCCATGTGTTCTAGGTACTGTTGACTGCCATGTGTTCTAGGTACTGATGACTGCCATGTGTTCTAGGTACTCATGACTGCCATGTGTTCTAGGTACTGATGACTGCCATGTGTTCTAGGTACTGATGACTGCCATGTGTTCTAGGTACTGATGACTGCCATGTGTTCTTGGTACGGTTGACTGCCATGTGTTCTAGGTACTCATGACTGCCATGTGTTCTAGGTACTGATGACTGCCATGTGTTCTAGGTACTGATGACTGCCATGTGTTCTAGGTACTGATGACTGCCATGTGTTCTTGGTACGGTTGACTGCCATGTGTTCTAGGTACTCATGACTGCCATGTGTTCTAGGTACTCATGACTGCCATGTGTTCTAGGTACAGTAAATGGCGGTTGGAGCGTCTGGGGCAACTGGACCAGAGATAGCTGCTCTGCGTCGTGTGGCGGGTTGGTGAGTGGCACGGAGAGGAGGGACCGACGCTGTGATAACCCTCGACCAGCTGCAAATGGATTACCGTGTTTCGGAAGATCGTTTGAAATTAAAGTGGCCAACTGCTCCGTCCCGGCATGTCCTATATCACAAGGTAACCCTAATATCACAGAAATAATAAGTCGTTAACCTAATTACAGAGAAATAAACGTTGTTCTGATTACACAGAAATAATAAATTGTGAACCTAAGTACACATAAATGATAATTCTCTACCTCAATTACACAGACATTATAATTAGTTTCCCTAATTATACAGAAATAATAACATGTTGCTCTAATAACAAAGAAATAATAACTCGTGAACCTAATTACACAGACATAATAAATTGTTACCCTAATTACACAGAAATAATAACAAGTTATCGTAATTACTCAGAAAAAATAACATGTTGCTCTAATTACACGGAAATAATAAGTCGTTAACCTAATGACACAGAAATATTAACCCATTACTCTAATAACAGAGAAATAGTTACTCGTTACCCTAATTACACAAACTAGTTACCCTTATTACACAGAAATATTAACCCATTACTCTAATAACAGAGAAATAGTTACTCGTTACCCTAATTACACAAACTAGTTACCCTTATTACACAGAAATATTAACCCATTACTCTAATAACAGAGAAATAGTTACTCGTTACCCTAATTACACAAACTAGTTACCCTTATTACACAGAAATATTAACCCATTACTCTAATAACAGAGAAATAGTTACTCGTTACCCTAATTACACAAACTAGTTACCCTTATTACACAGAAATATTAACCCATTACTCTAATAACAGAGAAATAGTTACTCGTTACCCTAATTACACAAACTAGTTACCCTTATTACACAGAAATATTAACCCATTACTCTAATTACAGAGAAATAGTTACTCGTTACCCTAATTACACAAACTAGTTACCCTTATTACACAGAAATATTAACCCATTACTCTAATAACAGAGAAATAGTTACTCGTTACCCTAATTACACAAACTAGTTACCCTTATTACACAGAAATATTAACCCATAACTCTAATTACAGAGAAATAGTTACTCGTTACCCTAATTACACAAACTAGTTACCCTTATTACACAGAAATATTAACCCATTACTCTAATAACAGAGAAATAGTTACTCGTTACCCTAATTACACAAACTAGTTACCCTTATTACACAGAAATATTAACCCATTACTCTAATTACAGAGAAATAGTTACTCGTTACCCTAATTACACAAACTAGTTACCCTTATTACACAGAAATATTAACCCATTACTCTACTAACAGAGAAATAGTTACTCGTTACCCTAATTACACAAACTAGTTACCCTTATTACACAGAAATATTAACCCATTACTCTAATTACAGAGAAATAGTTACTCGTTACCCTAATTACACAAACTAGTTACCCTTATTACACAGAAATATTAACCCATTACTCTAATTACAGAGAAATAGTTACTCGTTACCCTAATTACACAAACTAGTTACCCTTATTACACAGAAATATTAACCCATTACTCTAATAACAGAGAAATAGTTACTCGTTACCCTAATTACACAAACTAGTTACCCTTATTACACAGAAATATTAACCCATTACTCTAATTACAGAGAAATAGTTACTCGTTACCCTAATTACACAAACTAGTTACCCTTATTACACAGAAATATTAACCCATTACTCTACTAACAGAGAAATAGTTACTCGTTACCCTAATTACACAAACTAGTTACCCTTATTACACAGAAATATTAACCCATTACTCTAATTACAGAGAAATAGTTACTCGTTACCCTAATTACACAAACTAGTTACCCTTATTACACAGAAATTGTAATTAGTTACCCTTATTACACAGAAATTGTAATTAGTTACCCTTATTACACAGAAATTGTAATTAGTTAACCTTATTACACAGAAATTGTAATATGTTACCCTAATTACATATAAATAATAACTCGTTACCCTGACTATAGCAGAATAATAACTCATTACCTTAATAACACAGAAACATGTAATAATAACGGATTACAGAGGAATAATAACTCGTTACCCTAATTACAAAAAAAGAGTAATAACATGTTGCTCTTATTATCCTCATTACACAGATATGGAAGTTGGTTATTGTATCTGTTTAATTAGACGAGCGAAGGTAGCAACAGGTAATAATAATAATAGATGTGCTGCTTGAGTGGCATCAGTCCCCCTTTGATCTGGGATTGTTATGTTCTTGTGTTCAGTTGGGCTCTGCAACGAGGTCTTCAACGCGAGTGGGGTGGGGTACCGCTACCACCCTACAGCCTGTGACAAGTACCTGCAGTGTTACTATGGCCCTGGGGGTGAGGTGAGGGGTCTCTATCGCTCCTGCCCCTTCGGACACCACTGGGACCAGCTGACGCGGAGGTGCAATCATGTCTGGGAGGTGGACTGTCCAATGGGTAAGTAGCCCCTGCGTAACGTGTTAGTAGCCCCTGTGTCACGTGTAAGTAGCCCCTGTATCACGTGTAAGTAGCCCTGTGTCATGTGTAAGTAGCCCCTGTGTCACGTGTTAGTAGCCCCTGTGTCACGTGTAAGTAGCCCCCTGTGTCATGTGTAAGTAGCCCCCTGTGTCACGTGTAAGTAGCACCCTCTGTGTCACGTGTAAGTAGCACCCTCTGTGTCACGTGTAAGAATCAACCTGTGTCACGTGTTAGTAGCCCCTGTGTCACGTGTAAGTAGCCCCCTGTGTCATGTGTAAGTAGCCTTGTGTCACGTGTAAGTAGCACCCTCTGTGTCACGTGTAAGTAGCACCCTCTGTGTCACGTGTAAGTAGCACCCTCTGTGTCACGTGTAAGAAGCACCCTGTGTCACGTGTAAGTAGCCCCTGTGTCACGTGTAAGTAGCCCCCTGTGTCACGTGTAAGTAGCCTTGTGTCACGTGTAAGTAGCACCCTCTGTGTCACGTGTAAGTAGCACCCTGTGTCACGTGTTAGTAGCCCCTGTGTCACGTGTAAGTAGCCCCTGTGTCACGTGTAAATAGCCCCTGTGTCACGTGTAAGTAGCCCCTGTGTCACGTGTAAGTAGCCCTGTGTCACGTGTAAGTAGCACCCTGTGTCACGTGTAAGTAGCCCCCTGTGTCACGTGTAAGTAGCCTTGTGTCACGTGTAAGTAGCACCCTCTGTGTCACGTGTAAGAAGCACCCTGTGTCACGTGTAAGTAGCCCCTGTGTCACGTGTAAGTAGCCCTGTGTCACGTGTAAGTAGCACCCTGTGTCACGTGTAAGTAGCCCTCTGTGTCACATGTAAGTAGCCTTGTGTCACGTGTAAGTAGCACCCTCTGTGTCACGTGTAAGTAGCACCCTCTGTGTCACGTGTAAGTAGCCCCTGTGTCACGTGTAAGTAGCCCTGTGTCACGTGTAAGTAGCACCCTGTGTCACGAGTTAGTAGCTCCATGTGTCATGTGTAAGAAGCCCTCTGTGTCACGTGTAAGTAGCCCCTGCGTCACGTGTAAGTAGCCCCTGCGTCACGTGTAAGTAGCCACCTGTGTCACGTGTTAGTAGCTCCATGTGTCACGTGTAAGAAGCCCTCTCTGTCACGTGTAAGTAGCCCCTGCGTCACGTGTAAGTAGCCCCTGCGTCACGTGTAAGTAGCCCCTGCGTCACGTGTAAGTAGCCACCTGTGTCACGTGTTAGTAGCTCCATGTGTCACGTGTAAGTAGCATCCCGTGTCACGTGTAAGTAGCCCTTGTGTCACGTGTAAGTAGGCCCCTGTGACACGTGTAAGTAGCATCTGCGTCACGTGTTAGTAGATCCATGTGTCACGTGTAAGTAGCACCCTGTGTCACGTGTAAGTAGCCCCTGTGTCACGTGTAAGTAGCCCTGTGTCACGTGTAAGTAGCCCTGTGTCACGTGTAAGTTGCTCCATGTGTCACGTGAAGGTAGCACTCTGTGTCACGTGTAAGTAGCCCCTGTGTCACGTGTAAGTAGCACCCTTTGTCACGTGTAAGTAGCACCCTGTGTCACGTGTAAGTAGCCCCCTGTGTCACGTGTAACTACCCCACTGTGTCACGTGTAATTTGCCCCCTGTGTCACATGTAAGTAGCCCTCTGTGTCATGTGTAAGTAGTCCACTGAGTCAAGTGTTAGTAGCCCCTGTTACATGCGGAAGTAGCCCCCTGTGTCACGTGTAAGTATATCCTGTGTCACATGTAAGTAACCCCCTGTGTCATGTGTAAGTAGGCCCCTGTGTCACGTGTAATTAGCCCCTGTGTCACGTGTAAGTAGCCCCTGCGTCACGTGTAAGTAGCTCTGTGTCAGGTGTAAGTTGCTCCATGTGTCACGTGAAGGTAGCTCTCTGTGTCACGTGTAAGTAGCCCCTGTGTCATGTGTAAGTAGCACCCTTTGTCACGTGTAAGTAGCCCCCTGTGTCACATGTAAAGTAGCCCCTGTGTCACGTGTAAGTAGCCCCTGCGTCACGTGTAAGTAGCCACCTGTGTCACGTGTTAGTAGCTCCATGTGTCACGTGTAAGAAGCCCTCTGTGTCACGTGTAAGTAGCCCCTGCGTCACGTGTAAGTAGCCCCTGCGTCACGTGTAAGTAGCCCTCTGTGTCACGTGTAAGTAGCCACCTGTGTCACGTGTTAGTAGCTCCATGTGTCACGTGTAAGTAGCATCCCGTGTCACGTGTAAGTAGCCCCAGCGTCACGTGTAAGTAGGCCCCTGTGTCACGTGTAAGTAGCCTCTGCGTCACGTGTTAGTAGATCCATGTGTCACGTGTAAGTAGCACCCTGTGTCACGTGTAAGTAGCCCCTGTGTCACGTGTAAGTAGCCCTGTGTCACGTGTAAGTAGCCCTGTGTCACGTGTAAGTTGCTCCATGTGTCACGTGAAGGTAGCTCTCTGTGTCACGTGTAAGTAGCCCCTGTGTCACGTGTAAGTAGCACCCTTTGTCACGTGTAAGTAGCACCCTGTGTCACGTGTAAAGTAGCCCCCTGTGTCACGTGTAACTACCCCACTGTGTCACGTGTAATTTGCCCCCTGTGTCACATGTAAGTAGCCCTCTGTGTCATGTGTAAGTAGTCCACTGAGTCACGTGTTAGTAGCCCCTGTTACATGCGGAAGTAGCCCCCTGTGTCACGTGTAAGTATATCCTGTGTCACATGTAAGTAACCCCCTGTGTCATGTGTAAGTAGGCCCCTGTGTCACGTGTAATTAGCCCCTGTGTCACGTGTAAGTAGCCCCTGCGTCACGTGTAAGTAGCTCTGTGTCAGGTGTAAGTTGTTCCATGTGTCACGTGAAGGTAGCTCTCTGTGTCACGTGTAAGTAGCCCCTGTGTCACGTGTAAGTAGCACCCTTTGTCAAGTGTAAGTAGCCCCCTGTGTCACATGTAAGTAGCCCCTGTGTCACGTGTAAGTAGCCCCTGCGTCACGTGTAAGTAGCCACCTGTGTCACGTGTTAGTAGCCCCCGTGTCACATGTAAGTAGCCCTCTGTGGCACGTGTAAGTTGCACCCTGTGTCACGTGTAAGTAGCTCCATGTGTCATGTGTAAGAAGCCCTCTGTGTCACGTGTAAGTAGCCCCTGCGTCACGTGTAAGTAGCCCCTGCGTCACGTGTAAGTAGCCACCTGTGTCACGTGTTAGTAGCTCAATGTGTCACGTGTAAGTAGCACCCCGTGTCACTTGTAAGTAGCCCCTATGTCACGTGTAAGTAGGCCCCTGTGTCACGTGTAAGTAGCCCCTGCGTCACGTGTAAGTAGCCACCTGTGTCACGTGTTAGTAGCTCCATGTGTCACGTGTAAGTAGCACCCTGTGTCACGTGTAAGTAGCACCCTCTGTGTCATGTGTAAGTAGCCCCCTGTGTCACGTGTAAGTATATCCTGTGTCACGTGTAAGTAGCCCCGTGGGTCACATGTAAGTAACCCCCTGTGTCATATGTAAGTAGCCCCCGTCTCATGTTTTAGTAGCCACCTGTATCACGTATAAGTAGCCCCGTGTCACGTGTAAGTAGCCACCTGTGTCACGTATAAGTAGCCCCCTGTGTCATGTATGTAGCCCCATGTGTCATGTGTACGTATCCCGCTGTGTCACGTGTAAGTAGCCCCCTGTGTCACGTGTAACTAACTGATATACGAACACTTTAAGAGTGATGTATGACTGATATACGTACACTGTAAAAGTGATGTATGACTGATATACGTACACTGTAAGAGTGATGTATGACTGATATATGTACACTGTAAGAGTGATGTATGACTGATATACGTACACTGTAAGAGTGATGTATGACTGATATACGTACACTGTAAAAGTGATGTATGGCTAATATACGCACACTGTAAGAGGGATATATAGCTGATATACGTTACCTGTTAGAGTGATGTATGACTGATATACGTTACCTGTTAGAGTGATGTATGACTGATATACGTACACTGTAAGAGTGATGTATGACTGATATATGTACACTGTAAGAGCGATGTATGACTGATATACGTACACTGTAAGAGTTATTTATAACTGATATACGTACACTGTAAGAGTGATGTATGACTGATATATGTACACTGTAAGAGCGATGTATGACTGATGTACGCACACTGTAAGAGTGATGTATGACTGATATACGTACACTGTAAGAGAGATGTACGACTGATATACGTACACTGTAAGGGTGATGTATGACTGATATACGCACACTGTAAAAGTTGCGTAGGAGCGATGCATGGTTGCACAGATTGATATGTGTACACATTTCGGGATGATTGCGACATGTTGTATACTAGAAGCATGTACAGCTGTAAGATACCTCTGAATGGTATCTTAGTGTCACAGATAAGGTATCCTGGACGTGTGTTATTGACCTGGGTTTTAAAATATGATCTGTCACTGTGTTTCAGAGAAGTGTCTTACAGGGAGTGTGTTGAGTTACGCAATGGACGGGAACTGCCGGGGATACTGGTCATGTGACTCGAGGGGCGGGGTCGCGGCGGAATGCTGTCCCGAGAGGTACAGATACACCGCCCGGGGGTGCCAGTTCGACCTCAACTGCCAGGACCAGTGTCCGTCATCCTGCTTTGGGACAGGTGATTAAAGGGACAAAACACTTTCCACATTATCAACAAGTCTCAAAAAACCCCAAAACAAAACAAAAAATCTATTGTACGATTCCGACTATATCATCAGCATGCGTTTATGAATCATATTCAAATAGTTATGATACCAGGTGTTCACGAAAAGGTGAGCGTATCCTGTCCCACTGGTAGGACCAATCACAAACACATGCAAAGGCCAGTTAACTGTTCAGCTGAAAAAAACACTCGCACATATGGTACAAGTCAAAATAGGGACTTGCATCGAACATCATTCTTGTCAACCATCTCTTACTTCTCCGTGTATGCTGGAACAGGTATGCTGGCTTTTAAGCTCTATCTATTTAACGATGTCTGTGACGAGCTATGAAGCCTGTATTTAGTAACGTCACATGTGTTCTGTTGCAGGTGTGTGTGACAAGCTGCCAGTCTGGGGGAACACCTCCAAGTTCCAGATAGATGCGGGACGGAGTGGATGGCTGCCCACTGACTGCCCAGCCAACACAGAATTCAGTATCCTCGAATGTGCTTGCATTAAGCGGCGTAACCATGGTAATTACAAGGGATAATTGTGTTCAAATTTGTTTTATTCTCTCACGGCCCTCCCCACTCTCCCTTCTTCTTATATTCCCCTCACTAAGACACTCACTCGCCCACCCGTTACTCGACACACCCACTGACTCACCCACCCGCGACACCACATACTCACTGACATGCTCACCCGCTAGTTCACATACTCACTGACACGCTCACCCGCTACTCCACACACCTACTGACTCACCCACCCGCTGCTCCACATACTCACTGACTCGCCCACCCGCTAGTCCACACCCAACCACTGACTCACCCACCCGCTGTTCCACATACTCACTGACACGCTCACCCGCTACTCCACACACCTACTGACTCACCCACCCGCTGCTCCACATACTCACTGACTCGCCCACCCGCTAGTCCACACCCAACCACTGACTCACCCACCCGCTGTTCCACATACTCACTGACTCGCCCCCCTCCCCCTACTCCACACACCGACAGACTGACTCACCCGCTAGTCCGCACAACCACTGACTCATCCACCCGCTACTCAACACACTCACTGACTCGCTCACCCGCTACCCCAGACACCCACTGACTCGCCAACCCCCTATTTCACACATCCACTGACTCACCCACCCGCTAGTCCACACACCCACTGACTCACCCACCCGCTAGTCCACACACCCACTGACTCACCCACCCGCTAGTCCACACACTCACTGACTCACCCGCTAGTCCACACACCCACTGACTCACCCACCCGCTAGTCCACGCACCCACTGACTCACCCACCCGCTAGTCCACACACCAACTGACCCACCCGCTAGTCCACACACCCACTGACTCATCCGCTAGTCCACACACCAACTGACCCACCCGCTAGTCCACACACTCACTGACTCACCCGCTAGTCCACACACCCACTGACTCACCCACCCGCTAGTCCACACACCCACTGACTCACCCACCCGCTAGTCCACACACCCACTGACTCACCCACCCGCTAGTCCACACACCCACTGACTCACCCACCCGCTAGTCCACACACCCACTGACTCACCCACCCGCTAGTCCACACACCAACTGACCCACCCGCTAGTCCACACACCAACTGATTCGCCCACGCGCTAGTCCACACACTCACTCATACTCGCTCTGTTGCAGATTGCAGCCCTCAAACGTACGTGGTGTTCGATGAAGCCTTTATCAATTCCACTTCTTGGGTCCAAGCTTATGATGTGAATTTTCAAAGCAACATCGCTAAATTTGGGAAGGGTCGGATTAATGTGGATCTGACCACCCAGCCCGCCTCTCTCCAGGACCCACAGGTGTTGTTCCTGCGGTATAGAGAGGACTCCGTGCCGAGCCTGTCCAGACAGGTGCTTGTCAGTGGTACCAACTGTAATGGCAAAGAAAACCTCGTTATAGCGCTTGTTAATGACCAGCTGGTGTTTGAAATGACGTCATGGCTTGGCACCGTGCACTCAGTCACCATGTCCACCCAGGTAAGTCACATGAACACATGTCGATAACACATGTCAATAACACATGTCGATAACACATGTCAATAACAGATGTCAATAACACATGTCGATAACACATGTCAATAACAAATGGCAATAACACTTGTCAATAGCACATGTCAATAACACTTGTCGATAACACATGTCAATGACACATGTCAATAACACATGTCAATAACACATGTCGATAACACATGTCAATAACACTTGTCAATAGCACAAGTCAATAAAACATGTCAATAACACATGTCAATAGCACTTGTCAATAACACATGTCAATAACACATGTCAATAGCACATGTTAATAACACATGTCAATAACACGTGTCAATAGCACATGTCAATAGCACATGTCAACAACACATGTCAATAACACATGTCAATACACATGTCAATAACACATGCTAATAACACGTGCAAATAACTTGTCAGTAACACATGTCAATAACACTTGTCAATAACACATGTCAATACACATGTCAATAACACATGTCAATAACACGTGCAAATAACTTGTCAGTAACACATGTCAATAACACATGTCAATAGCACTTGGCAATATCACTTGTCAATAACACATGTCAATAACACTTGTCAATAACACATGTCAATAACACATGTCAATAGCACATGTCAATAACACATGTCAATAGCACTTGTCAATAACACATGTCAATAACACATGTCAATAGCACTTGCCAATATCACTTGTCAATAACACATGTCAATAACACATGTCAATAGCACATGTCAATAGCACTTGTCAATAGCACTTGTCAATAACACATGTCAATAACACATGTCAATAGCACTTGTCAATAACACATGTCAATAACACATGTCAATAGCACATGTCAATAACACATGTCAATAACACGTGCAAATAACTTGTCAGTAACACGTGGTTCGATTCCCCAGGGGTTCCCCGCCTCCAGCTGGAAGGATGTCATTCTGATGTATAACGGTAACATGCTGGTCGGCATCATCAAGTCGGACAAGGCCAGGTTCTTCACCCACACATACGGTGAGTGAGTGAGTGAGTGAGTAATGGGTGGGTGGGTGAATGGGTGGGTGGATGGGTGGGTGCTTGAGTGGTCAGGAGTGGAGGGTTGGGGGTGGCTGCATGAGTGGGTGCGTGAGTGGGTGGGTGCGTGAGTTTTGGGGGCGTTCAGGCGGGCGAGTGAGTGAGTGAGTAAGATGTCTATGTATACAGCTACATTAGCTTACGCTGTTAAACATGACCTGTATGTGCGAGAGTGTTTCAACATGATGCGTGTGTGTCAAATAAACATGTAAACTGTGTGTTTGTGAGTTATTAAACAAGAAGTGTGTTATTAGGGACTGACCAGTTGATGTTCTTGGGGTCCTGGAATTTTGTATCGAGATTAGATTTTTTAATATATTTTTTTATAAGATTTTATTCTTTCCCTGCAGCACCGAAGAGCAACGTGATGGAGTGTGGGGTGACCCTAGGGACTGACTTCACGCGCACGCAGAACTTCAAGGGAGAAATGACCATGGTATGTGTGTAGGCAGACCGAGATGGCCGTCGTGTGTGTGTAGGCAGACCGAGATGGCCGTGGTATGTGTGTAGGCAGACCGAGATGGCCGTGGTATGTGTGTAGGCAGACCGAGATGGCCGTGGTATGTGTGTAGACAGACCGAGATGGCCGTCGTGTGTGTGTAGACAGACCGAGATGGCCGTGGTATGTGTGTAGACGGACCGAGATGGCCGTGGTATGTGTGTAGGCAGACCGAGATGGCCGTGGTATGTGTGTAGGCAGACCGAGATGGCCGTGGTATGTGTGTAGGCAGACCGAGATGGCCGTGGTATGTGTGTAGGCAGACCGAGATGGCCGTGGTATGTGTGTAGACAGACCGAGATGGCCGTCGTGTGTGTGTAGGCAGACCGAGATGGCCGTGGTATGTGTGTAGACAGACCGAGGTGGCCGTGGTGTGTGTGTAGACAGACCTACATGGCTTTAGTTCAATGAAGCATGGCACATGTCATCTTGAAATGGTCATTCAGTTATTCGTAAAGTGAGTGGAGAGGTTTTGACCTTTGAATGGTCTTCGCTGAAGATCATGGTCACCATTGTGGATGTCCCCTGGACCATTCGCGTGACCAAACCAACGCCAAGTGGCGATATAACGTGTTTGTGAAACTAAGGATTAACACATATCAAGCGTATGATTCAAGCGTATGACTAATGTGTTTGTGATAATCAATGTTCTACTCCCGTGTACTTTCAGCTGGATATCTACCAGTGTGATCCCAACTATCTGATCTAAGACAGCCTTCACGAGCGAGAGTGTGCTGAATAGGGGGAGATAACTCTGCCGAGTGATAGGACGGCTAGACAACCTCGGAGGAAGACAGTCAATGTATATACAAGCCGATATAGATCTACCATGTTATCGTTGTGTGCACATAGTAGCCTCTAGTACATCTCTGAATGTGTTAGTACAGTAAGCATATCCGTGCCATATGTCTCGTCCACGTGGTGTGGTCAGCACCTGCCATGGATGGTCCCGTGATCTGTATGTATGAACACCCGGTGTCCATGTCTCAATGTAGAGTTGTCGCCCTTGTTACTTTGTTGGGCGCATGTTGGCATGACGGATGGCGTCCCAGGAGACTACCTGGCAGGTTCCGATGTCCAGATCAGATAATACGTCATAACTCGCCAGGTGTGTAGTATGTGGACAATATATCAATATTACCATATCGATAACATTTTTTCGCATCATTATCTGCTGGATAAGATATTGATTGTGACGCCCGGTGTTACCGTCGCGGATATGTCGCCGATCGTGCTGTTATTTTTTGATAGTCTTGTACATGGAATCTGTCTGATGGAATCAATGGAGGAGACTGATTATTCTCTGGCGTTGACTTTATTTTTAAGTAACCACAAGATCGGATGGTCATTCAGACAAGATGTGTTTCTGTACATATCTCCATCCCTATGGTGATTATGTCTAGAGTCTGTTAGGCGTTGGGCTGGTCGCGTAGTGCTGCCATTGCTTTGTCAACACACATCAACTGGCCAATCACAGCTATCAAAACATAAGTCGACCAATCACAACTGTTCAACGGTCTGCCGACCAATCACAGATGTTCAATAATCTTGCGGGTAACCATGGCTATTCACTGATCGGGGGGAAATTTGTCCCTGATGAGCCGGCCTCTCGAAACTCTCCACTGATCACACGATCACAAATCTGTGGCAGTTGTTACCTGTGTATTTATATAATTGTCCGACAGATGTAGAGGGATTACAATGATTATATATATACTCATCTTTAGTTATATTTCAAGATGTGTGTCCAAATATCTGCAAAGGTGAAAGCGCGTATGTTTAATTCAGTAAAGCTGTACACGGATTAGAAGGCCTCGTAAATGTGACACCAATCCATTTGATTTTTCGCAATAAAATATATTTATAAAACAACAACTGTTTTGATTTTGTCAGTGCTGGCGCCACCTGGCGGCTGGCTCCATCAACACCCCAATAGCAGATGTATCAATATCATCTCATTTCGTTTATGTCTACATAGACACAGACATGTGAGTCCACTGCTATCTTGAGTTAAATGTTACAACACACACACACGCACGCACGCACGCACGCACGCACGCACGCAAGCGCGCGCATGCACACACACACACACACACACAACGTCTATACATAGACCACCTGCACATTTAAAGTGGTTTTCGTATGACATGGATAGTAAAAATGGATACATGCTCATTCTACATAAGAGAATGAAATTTAAAAAATATTGACCCAAATCCCGCCAATAGGATCCGAGTATAATTAGATTGTTAGTAGTTAAAATAAAGCTCATGTTGTGCGAAGCAGGCTGTATACGCCGACTCGCGGACAGATGTAAGCAGCGGACGATTGATGACGACAAGGAGTGCCCGGGGCAGTCTTCAGACAGGTCATTAATCGCCCCTACACCGTGCTGCTGGTGGTGGTGAGCTCTAGTCTCATCGGGGTCACTCGGTGGAAGAGGTAGGGCTGCCGTCACAATGACAAGCTTGTTACTGCAAAATACATATAGTATCTTAATACCTGGGATTGTTGTCAGGACATTGACGTAGGATATGCAGGGTATTAGTTATGAGAGTGTAGTCAAAACAAAACTTGTTTGACGTAACGAGCGCAATGCGTGACCGACGCTGTTCCGCATACATAGACACATTAAACGGTTTCCGACGGGCCAGAAATAAATGTTTGACTTCACAACGCAATATTTCAAGCGATGTATTCTACAGGCACGGTTCATCGATTCACGTGATCTTCAAGACATGAATTCCGTCAGGCCTAACTAATACTAAATGGAATATCAGAATAAGAAAACACAAGCTTTGTGACTCGTCAAAAAGAAGTAAAAATATTATTGATAGATAATATTCCTCTGTGGACGTAGGCGATACACAAACTGTATTTTCAATGTTTGGATACTTGTAGAATTAAATGCGCCAAATTGAGTTTAGAACCGAACACAAAGTTTTGAGTTTTATGTGCTCAAAGATTGTTTATTAGAATAATTGTGCTTTACTTGTATATAAAACGGACAAATCCGCAAAATTCCAAGCGCATAAGATAATAACAATAATAACGCAGTAATAAACAATAGCAATAGCGACACATTGTCAGGTATTGGCACAAACAGCACGGCATGATGTCATGGCTGTAGCCCTGTATCACCGTCCTCCCTATCCTTGTTGACTTGAGCTTCATCATTGCTACGACCCTAAGGGCGTCATGGAAAATGATAAACATTCTTTGGAATAGGCCCGTATAAGCCTGTGACCTATCCAGGCCAACAAACCTGATCTTGTCCTTTTTGATAAAACCAATGAAAGCATTTATGTCATCAACTTCTCTATCCCTTTGACACTAATGTGATTGACAAGATTCAGGTAAAACTTGGCAAATATGCGGACTTCGATCACGACATGTCACGCTTGCATCCATAAGACCAGGATGTCCGACTCCCCGTTGATCTTGGTGCCTCCTAACACGGGTTTACTACCAGGAAAACAGCCTTTCTGACAATCTGGGTAATGCAGAGGGCTAAGATTTGTGTACAGCGAATTGTTAGAAAGTATCACACAGATAAACATTTGAAAGACAAATGTATGAATGATCTCCGGGCCCTGTTTGTTTCCAGCATCAGCAGTCGGCGGCAAGAAGGAAGAAACTGGTATTCGGAATGAAGTATATGACTGCTGTCATTCAGTATCTTATGCCCCTTTAGACAATTTGTTGCTCATAAAATTGGCCGATGTGTTGAAATTGGGTACCTGACATTTTGCTTGCTGTATTTAAAATTTTATGTATTTTAGATTCATTTTGAAAAGACAGGCTCCCATACCAGCAGTTAACATTAAAAACTAAAATGTTTTGAATAGATGTTCTATAAAGAGAGAGTATTGTATTATCAAGTTTAATATACCTAAGACGCCGTAAGAAATACAATCGCTTTTTGCCCTTTTTATCAATAGGCTCCCTGTTAGCATTCCAAGTATGTTTTGTATCAATAATGGTGCCAAGATACGTATTTTGTTCAACCAAATCAATATTTTCGTTATCAGTAACAACAGGCAGAATTTCTGACTTCTTTTTTTCTGAAATAAATAAAAAAAAATCCTTTGTCTTTTTAACATTAAGATTCGCTCGTCACGCCGAAGACCCGGGTTCGATTCCCGACATGGGCACAATGTGTGAAGCCCATTTCTGGTGTCCCCAGCAGTGATATTGCTGGAATACTGCTCAAAGTGGCGTAAAACCATACTCACTCACTCACTTTAACATTTAGAGTAAGAAAATTAATCTTGCACCAGTGGACAATTTTTCAGATTGCTTTATGAATCTACAAACGTAACGGTGAAACAATTGTTAAAATTACTGATACAGCCATCCGCGTATTACATAAATAAAGCAGGAGAGAGAGCACAACCTTGCTGGGAGGGCACCCGTAGATGTAAAGGTGACAAATGATTTGATACCATTTACTGTACTGCTGGACGGTACTTCAGCCAAGCGAAGTGCAATATCAAATGGGCCTGGTCTCAGTGCTTTTAAGGAGAGGCTATCTGAACGACCACTGCATCGAGTTTATGTGCAGTGTGGTGAGAAGGTCAGTAACCCTTCAGAGTTCTTCGCTTTGATGAAGTCGTCTGGCCTGAAAGTGAAACATAAGGCTTTCAATTTGCTGCTCAGGACCAGTCACTTCCCACTCGAAAATGTCAATGTGTGATTTTGCATCAAAATGTAAATATGAAATGTAGATAAGGCGATTAATTTATTTGATGAAACTGTCCAAAACATTGCCAGTGGATGTCTAGCTCAAACACAGTATCTGAAGCAACATAATGGAGCGGCTCGATATTTTCATTACCGTCTTCTCCATGCTTGTGGTTTTGACACACAGGTCCATCCATGGTACGATCCAGTGTATGTAGAGGGCGTCATGGAAAATGACAAATACAAAATACTTTGGAACAGGCCCGTAAACAGCCTCAGCCAGACCAACTAATCCGTGTCAGGTTTAATGACACGTAACTGCGTAAACGTGGCATAATAAACACCTTTAGTCTCCAGTCATGATAATACCGATCTATCAGAATTGTTCTGACCTTAGGCTTTAACCAATAATTGGTCGTAAAAGCTTGACATAACTATGTAGAAGTTAACTCCGTGCTCTCCACAGAATTACTGTAATGCAAGTTAAAAGTGGAAAGTTACAAATACTGTAACATTGATACATCTTAACCACATGCTGCATTCACCACCTCATTTGATAAGAGTCAAAGTTTATTCCCAGATACAATCATTGTTGTTTTTATGACAATTTTGAGTTCACCATAAATAATAAAGTTTGGAGTTTATTGCATAAATGCAGGTATACGCTTGTAATAATTTAAATGATTTCTTTCAATCATAACTGACATATAATCCAGCCTGAACGAGCAAGACGGAGGGAGATACATTGCTGTCAGCTCCCCAGCATCCGTGACAGCTCTAACGTCATTGACTGAACACATCCTTGACTACTTCTGACATAATGACTTCTGCCCACATCTAGGATTACCAAAATATCACCGCCTACATGTAGGCCAGCTACAACATCATTGGACACTTTTGGGGTGATTTCAACATCATTGATTACATTTGGGACGAGTACAACGTCATTGACCACATCTACATTTAGTTCCTGCTGCCACCCCTTTTCTCCCAGCCCCAAACGCCCCCGTGGGTGAGTGTGGCCGAGGGTCGACGGGACACTTGTCGGCTCGGGCCAATTTGTCCGCCTACAGTTGGGAACTGATGACTGAGGTTGACTGTGCTCGTTACATTGGTTGACCTGTCAGCACTACATGCTGCTGTACTGACTGTGCCAATCCCTGACTAAGAGCGCTCTTGCCCCTCCCACACTAAACAAGCCTCCTTTTGTGTAAGCAGTTCATCAGAGGAGTCATCAGTTTCCTAACAGAATTATAATGTTGTAGACAGCATATGTCCCTTCAGACACAGAGAAGTTATAGATCACGTGTCACAGCACAGCGTCCATGTATGGCAACTGTGGGGTAACCACGGAGAGTATTGAAGATGTGGGGGTATACTTTCAATTCAAATGTGTCTTGTATGATAGACCATAGGCCCAAGTACATGAAGTGGATACAATACAGTATAGGATCATTTTTCAAGTGAATCACATGTTTCATTTCTGTTCAATTCCGAGTCTTGAAGACATATTTGAAATATAATATAACAGATTTTAAGTCTTGATAATTTGAGGTTGCTATAAGGCGATTAAATTGTTGGACTGACGGTCGAATTATATATTTATGTCGTTTGTATTGCTTTCCCGTGTCAAGGTAAAATGATAGAGATCTTCGATATTGTTTAGATCACAATATGTACATAATCTTTCACATTTTGGAATCTCCCGTTATCAATATTAGGCCTTGTACATCAAACTCGAGCACGAACAAAATCGGTAGCAAATGTACACAAGATCGAATCTATCAAATATTTCTCTGTTTCTAGGCTAATTTTAAAATGTGTAAAATATTCATATCTAGTACTAGATGGTAATATATTGGACCATTCTTTGCTGTACATATCTTTCAAACGGGAGTATAAAAGATTAAGAAAACTAGCCACATATCCAACTTATTGGGAGACCACAGCATACACCAGACCTGAACTAGACAGAACAAGTCTAACATTACTTGTCCAGTTCTGTCTACCTACTGAAACAAGAGTAAACAACAATTCCTAAGCCTCACGCGGAAGTCTATTAGATGGCATGTGAAGTAGTATTTGATGTATTTCACCGAACTATTTATAAACAATGGGTACCGCCCACATTCCCCCAAAGCCATTGCAATGAGAGTGTTAATTCCTGAACCAAGATAATATGTACATGC